CCCCTTCCCCATCAGCACTCCGCGCCACCGTTTTTCGGCAAACTGGGATTCGGCAAAGTGGTCTCGGCAATCTGGCATTCTTCAAGCTGGATTTTGACCATCTAAGCTATAACCCTATCCCCCACCTCCCGATAGCAGGACACAAGAAAATCAAAATTAATAGGCCGGCTAGTGTCCCCTCATGGTGTCAACTAAAAGTCGGTTTGTGCTTTATATCATATGTCATAATAGGCCTATAATACTCTGTATGAAAAAACTCATGGTTATATAGATAAAAAGATAAAAAATCAACGCCATAAAAACGTAGGGTCATCAAATATTATCCTTAATGAAATAATTCCTACAAATCATATATTTATGTTTTACATTGCTGTAGGGAAGAAATAGAAGTGAGATGATGATGCAGAACGAACGTGCAGTTTCTAGCTCCATGATGTTCATGATCATTGATCTATCCACCTTTTTCAGTGGCCCCTAAATGTTTCAAGACTTTTTTAAAAAATGGATAAAAAGAGAAAATTAGGCCTGCATTCAAATTTTCAATCTGAGAGTGCCATTTCCGGCCATCAGGTGACAAAGGCCCCTAATCGTAAATTTAAAACTCTGCCTCAACCATGGTGGGCTGAGGTGGTATAGACCCTCCATCTGTCAAAGTCCCTCCCTGGATCCCCTTTATTTCAAATTTCTGGATTCGCCACTGTTTTTTTTTTAATAGATGAGATCGATATTGATTGGGGAAGAGTGAAATGCACAGCAAGAGAAAAAGATTGATTTGGCGTCGATATCATGAAAAATTTGTCCAGCAGTGGACCGACAACTGAGATGATGAAGTCTTTGAAGGTTATCAACGTGGTCGAGCTTTGAACCCTGAGGCAAACCCAGCCGCACAGGAAGAATCTTATTACCCACCCTTTGATAATTCCATATTTGGTTTTATAATTTTATTATTTTAACATAAATTTTATTTTAAAAATAATTAACATACTGTATATAGGCCTACAGATACATATTGCAGTAAAAAATTAGGCCAATTATAAATAAGCATAGGGCTATATTTATTGATCTATAGGAAAATACAGTTACATATTTATTTATTAAAACAGCTAACTTTTACGAAAACAAAAATTTGCACATAGGATTAATTTGGAAGTAGCTGTAACACAAATTGAATAAGCTACAGAAGTTTCTTGTTCATTATATTCTGTTTCCTAACCGAGCGTCATTGCGTCAGTGTGTTTATCACGTGACCAACAACGTAGCAAAGAGTCTGGTGGTATCTTTGACCGTAGCTTTTTTTGAGGTCGAGACAGTTGTAGAAAATTTGCTCAACAAAGTAACGGATTGGTTAGTCCATATCCTTTAATTTTCTTTCTATTTATTCTTAAATATTTCTAATGTTTTTGACAAATATATTTATATATACAACCATGTGAAAAGTTTTCATGATTTTTAAACATGTATTTAATGCCTGCCGTGTCTGAGTCAGCCATTTAACAAAAGGAAAAATGTAGGCATGTATGTAGTAATAAGAGCTGTATGTAGGGATATGTATGCAATATTTAGTTTTCATTTTATAAATTATATGAATCATTTAAATTGGGTTGACTACCCCTAGACTAGACAAGGAGGTGGTAAGAATCAATGTATACACAACATTTCGTTTAATGATTACCTTATCAATGTAAACTGCAAGTCCTACACAGTGAACCAAGCTAGAAATCTTTGTTGTCATAGGCTATGCTTCGGCCGCTACCCGTGCTTTGATGATCTACAACTTACAATAATGCCTAATGGCAGATTTTTCAATCGAGTACTACGAAATTTCCATTAGGCCCAGTTGCTGCGCAAATTTTGTCTAATTACTGACATACGGAAATAGGCAAAAATACTACGAAAATTTATAGTACACGTAGGCCCATAAATAAATGCATAGCCTGGTCTAATATACAGAATAAAAAACAAGTGACTTTTCATCATGATTTTTGGTTACATTGTCCCTAGCTAGGGCTAGACTACTGTAGACAATTAAACTCATCATACTTGTCAGATTACTGATACATATTGTGAAAAGAAAAGGTGGCCCGTAAATCTTGATCTTGTACCGTTTGTTTGAAATTCCACATCGAATTACAGACAATCGGTCCCAAAGACGATAGGCCCAGGACCATCAGGCCCATTTTCAAGACTATCGGGCCCAATCATCTTGTCCAATTTGTTTGAAATTCCACGGTTGTACCTGCAATTTTGAGCAAGCCATACCTTGTAAATTTTTACTACGACAATCTGAAGACACAGTTATGGGAATGCATTTTACGAAAGTGAAATGTCTGCAATGGTTGAATAATGAGCGCTATGTTATGCTGCACTTACATTCACTTTGTAGAGTCTTTTTCTTCAAATAATTGCGATTTCCTTTCTTTATTTAGTTTTGATTTTAAAGCTTATAAAGTTGTATGAATGAAATTATGGAGTCATGAAGGAAACATTTGAAATGTGTAAATACAATGTGTTCTGTGTTTTATTTTGATTCTGTTTGACATAAAAATAAATGTGTGAATGATATTAAATTTGTTGATGAAAAAACAGATGAAATATGAGTACAATAATAAATACAAAGCGTATTGTAGTTATCTTTATTTTAATAATTGCGTATAAAGCATTATTTTGACTATTGCATTTTAACACAATCTGTCGTGGCTGTGTATAGACCAACAGCAGTAGGTACCACAGCAAATAACTGATATACTTTATAAATAGTATATACTGTAGGCATACTAATTGGAGCAAGGTCCAAAAGTTTGTGACAATTTACTATCCAGATGTGTGTACAGATCTGGAAGAAATATATCGTAGCTCCATTCTTTTAGGTGTCATACAGTACCATTATTGGCATTTTTGAGTTCCTATTATTTCCATAAAAATATTGTAAAAAATAATTTTACACTTTAACACGAATCTGTAAAATGTTGGATGATGTGTTATCATGCTACAAAACAATATGTGAGAATTCATTTTCAAATTACATAGTGCATGTGCAGTGCAATAAGCAAAGTATATTCAGTGAAGTATGTAAGTGAGACGTACTATACCACTTCAGTGAGTGCAGCTAATACAAATGCGTTTGTTCACTAAACATAACATAAAAGATATTATAAAGTGATCATACAAATCACTAAAATCAGTCAATATAGCCCCTTTCACACAGAGCTACAATACGATATTAATTCCCTTTTTCGCGAACGCCAGCATTCTATGTGAAAGGGTAAATACGCCTAAATGCCGGCTTAGGTTAGATCTGCTTAGGTTTGACCTCCTCGGGACCTAGTCAAAATACCGCATTAATACTGTAGCGGTTCATTGCCGTCTTACGCACTGAAGCATAACAAATCAGAGGTCAAGTGCAAAACATTTTTGTTTTTAGATCAGGGTTGCCAATATAAAATTGCGCCCTCTTTGTTCACAGACGCATACTCCTTTCGCGCGGGACCCCTTTCAGACAGGATACGGTATTTATACCGGATTTTTACTAATAGCACCGACGTGACTACTGTATAGTTGTGGTATTTTCTGTCTGAAAGGGGTTTATGTTACAAATATAAAACTTGCATTACTAATAATCCAGTTTTTACTGCAACATCATGATACACAAAATAAAAGGCTCACAGTTCAGTGTTAATTGGTAATTTGCCTTCATTTGCAAAAGTCTTTATAGAATTTTAGTTAAAGATGTAACAGTATTCAATATTGTGCTTTAGAATATTAATCTTGTATGTAGTATTGCAATACTTTTTTATAAGGCATACTTGTAGTAATTGGCCGCGATTGCACTTAATAGGATGATTATTAAGATACTCCTCAGTGGGGAGGATCCATAGGGGGTAATGATCACCAACGTCGGGACCTTTACCTCTCCCCACCCCTTACAAGTTGGAGTATTATTTAGCGGGCAATAAAATTGTACAGATGTAGGTTAAAAGTAGGCAGCTTTTTTCTTCTTGGGGGGTGGAGTGAGGGGATCATTATGGGAATAATATTCAGGAATCTATTTTTATTTTTAGCTATCTGCACTCCCCTCCTGCAAATATCTGGACTTGCCCCAGCATCTGCCAACTTTTGCGAAAGGGTACCAAAGGTTACCTAGTCGAGAGGGTGCTAGTAAAGTCTATCAACAATCAATATAAAATGACCTGTGAACAAAGGTACTTGAGTCAGTACATATTTTATTCCATAAAAAACAAAAAAACCTAACTCAAAACATTTTAATTTATGTATTCAATGAAACTTAGGTTTTATTTCTTTCCTATTTTAATTCTTAAATGAAAGTTAGCTTCTATAGAAATCCACATACCTGAAAATTAATAATATTCTGTACATGAAAGCAATACATTGTGCATAAGAATAACACTATAGGCTACATTGAATTGTGAAGTTCAACAAAGGCTTAAAAATAGCCTAGATGATGACCTCAACAATAGCTGGTGTGGGATTAATGCCCTTATGGCGCTCCATACAAATCCTGCGAGGCTGAAGTTGCTGGCAGCTGCAGAAGTCATATCCTGCAAAAAAGTGGTACAAAACAAGTAAAGTTGTTCAAATATACATCAAGAAGCATGTACACATTTTAAGAGACATAGCCTACATACACAGGGTGTTTTTTAAGGCCTAGGCTAGCCTTTTTTTCAAATTCAAATAATAGTTTATTCATTATAAAAAACACATATAAAGACAAGTAAAATACTATTACAGTATTGGAAATAAAGGAAACACTTCAGGAGACTTCATTAGTAAATATAATACAGTAATTCAGTATGGCATAGACCAAGGAGGTACAGTATATTATTTTATACCTTCTTGCTTGCATATAGACACAAGTTATTTCTAAACCCCGCAAACCTCATCCACACCTTGCGATAGTGCTTGAATCATGTAGTATAGGACTCGCTCTGCAGACGGATCCGTTTAGGCCTTATAGGCCTCATCAGTGCAGCTAGGGTACAGACCCAGATAAAACGTTAGACCAGCAGGTCCCAGTTATTAGGATTTTTTCCAGTGGATATTTAGGTTATTTTGTCATTCTAATCGGATTTTCACTACTGTTTCGTTTAAATTTTTAATTATTTTTCATTATCTGACCGTTTGTTGTTTATGTATATATATAT